TATAATAATATATGAAATTTATTCGAACGGAAATCCTGTGCTTCTCCCCCCNCCAAACAAAACCGGAACTTGCTTATTGTGTTTCGACTTGAGCAATTTACTCACAATGGAACATGATATTACGGGAAAATAATGACGAGAGATTACTTGTCTATAATGTTCTGGTTGTTGAATAAATGGAAATGAAATGTTGAATACAAGAGTTCTCTACATTCAGGCTGCGGTTGCAACATAAATGAACTCTTCATAATCCTTTTCTTTATTTTACTTCTTTTTTGTGTGTGGAATTTTGCATGCACAGTACCTGTACTGGATATAGTTTTGAAGTGTAAGACATTGTGTGCTTCACCGTAGCCCGTACCAGCGTGTCCTAAACTTTCCGACTGCGTGTCTCTCTCGGGACCGGCTCTGTGGTCTAGTTTTTGGCTACAGATCTAGAGGTCCGGGTTCGATTCCGGGCGCTGCCAGATTTTCTGAGAAGTAGTGGGTCTGAAACGGGGTCCACTCAGCCTCGTGAAGATAATTGAGTAGTTATTTCAAGGAAATAGCGGCTCCGGTCTAGAAAGCCAAAATTAACGGCCGTGGGGATTCGTTGCGCTGACCACGCGACACCCTATAACCGCAAAAGTTGGCACTAAACTTCTCCGACAAGCGACGGTCGCTCGGTCGGTATAGTTCGCTTGCGAACTAAAACCACGGAGTTTGTATCTGTCTTGGTTATGACACTGACAAAACGGGTAAGGTAACGCTGAAGTTGGCGATGAGCTTAATTAATTAAGCATTATTCAATCAAGATGTATGCGGGAATTGAGGTACGAGTATCACTCTTGACCTCGGCAGTGGCTGGAGGTGAGTGGCCAGCTTCATGCCCCGGTCGCTATACCCGCAAGGGAAAGAGCGCACCATACCCAATGTATAGAAGGTTGGGTGAGCCTCAGGCCCGTTCTGGACGCTGTGGAGTGGAGAAAAATCGCTTGTCTCTGCAGGGTATCGAACCACGGTTGCCAAGTTTATAGTCCGTGGCTGTGCCGACTGAGCAGAACAGGTCATGGGAATAAAGGGATCAGTTTCGGAAATACCTGTATACTTCATACCCTACTCTTCTGCCTGTATGTGAAAGTTACTAGGAACTGCGAATTAGTTTCTAATAGGACCGCTTATACTGTTTACCTTGTGCTTTCCGTCTAAAACACTAGTGTGTGGGTTTCAAGCGAACTTTTCTCAAGTATTTAAATATGATCTGAGATATTACTAGGTCTCTCTTAATTTCATAGTGTTCTGCTACGTTAGGAGCATACATAAAGTCAAAATTTATTTCCACTGTCTAATTTATAATGTTTAGCATATAAAAGCGTTTAATGTAGAACTTCAGGCATATGCATGTGTGCCGCATTTCAAATTCTCTAACGGTTCAGTAGTTACTGCCATGAACCCTGAAGTTAAGTATACATTTCACGATACTGCCTCGTTGTTTACAATCTACAAAAGAATTTCCATAACAGAAATTGTATATTTGACGGAATACCCTTTAGACCTACAGCACATTTGAAGACTTCGCATTAAGTGGAGCCGATCTCGTTCCCGCCTTAGAATTTCGAACGATCCTCATTGCACCAAGTTTCATGAAGATCTGTCACCTCAAAAGTTAACAGGAGACAAACACATAGATATGGTATCCTGTCATAATTGTGCGGTTCCGTATGAAAGGAAGGAAAAGTAGACTGTAAATCACAGATTTGAGAAATAGTTTCTGTGGTTCTTGACTTTCCAGTAGGCTAGCCAATGGTGTTCAGCATTACAAAACTTCCTGCATTGTTACCATTGTTACGTTCATGATAGTGCGTTTGAAATTTTCTAAAATTTGATTTCGATTTTATTTATTGTTTTGTATGGTCGAAGGTAGCAGAGACTGCTGTATCGATCTACGGCAAACAGTACAGATACTCTCGCATGAGAGGTGTATGCCTTAAGTCCCTTGCTCCTGGCATTGCAGTAGGCAGGCCAAGCTGACAAACACCTTGTCATATTGTTTTGGTAACCTGTAATATGTATCTGAGATCCTCACGGCGGTGGCCGTGAAGATAGTTGTCCTGTGGGATGTACTGTCGTGTAGTGTGATGAGTACCAAGGCGTCTAGGGAATCTGATGCATCATCTCCCTTCCATCTCGTTGGCGCCCAGTAAGAGCCACCGTCCCATATCGGCTCTCACGCAGTCCGTTTCCTGTCCGTCCTTCCCTCTCACCGTTTGTACCTACTCCCTGTGTGACGGAAATCATGAACGGTGGTGAATGGAAGCTGATGAAGATGTAGGTAGTACCCCCCCCCCCGAAAGAATAGGACTCTTTGACAAAAAATAATAAAACAATAAAAGTTGACAAGGGCTGATACCTCGGGCACATTTCAAGAGACTGTTTTGGTTATTCGTGTGGTGGGGTGAGACTGAGTCCACTTGGTTCGTCGCCGTCTATTGAGCCTTTTGTACCATCCACGGTTGATGATGAGTATGGAGCAGTTGATGGAATGAGAACTGTGAGGGGACACCGGAGTACTCGGAGAAAGCCTGTCTCACTGCTACTTTGTCTACCACAGAACCCACATGACCGGACCTGGAATTGAACGCAGACCTCCACTGTGGAAAGCCAGCGATTAACCGCCTGAGCTGTGGCACAGCCAAAAAAATAACATTGATGCATTTTATTTTTACAGCCATTGCCTTCTGCTGTCACATTTTCAGCTTTTTGGAAAGACGCAGAAGAAATAGCCTTACTGAAAGCCGATAAGGACCCAAAATTCTCTTCAAATTTTACGCCCAATAAACCTCTTATCCAAGATATCGAACTGCACGATGTCATTTCCCAGAAGGAAGTAATTAATTTTATTTTTACTCTTGTTGAAGCCCCACGAATGAGTTGTTAACCGTTGAAAAGACCTCGGACACCAAATAAATTGAGAGCAAAGGGGGTCATTGTTTTAATGACATGTCTTATGTATAACCTGGAGGTGGTTAAGGTACTTGCGAACGATATGTGGGAACAAGCACGGGCCTCATATTGATAATTTTAGCAGAAAACAATCATTCCCTGGCCAAAGTGAAATCTTTCGAACCTCTTAGAGAAACCGTCCGTCCCTCCCCTGTGCCAGTTATTATAATAGAAGGTTTTGCAGCACCCAAAAGCGAGTTATGAACACTTCTGTGGACTGAGGCAAGTAAGGCGGAATCTAGCCATTTGAACTTTTTCTTTATCTGTGACCATTTTAATTTCAAGGTGTGTACATTTTCATTGCCTGTGGTAAGTTCGCCGAAGCAAATTGAACTCTTGGTAACCGCTGCTGTGAGAACCCGTGATCCTCCTCACAAGTAAAACTTTCTACCCATCTTCCTGAACCTGTGTAACAATCCGAAAGCCGTATAGAGGGGGGGGGGGTTCGTTAGCTTCGTGAATGGGTGATGCCGTTACCGGAAACACGTGTTACATAATTGTGCTGACACTAGGAACTCGCACATGAAATCATGCTCTGAGAGAGATCTGAACTCGTGAATTAAAGAGTTCTGTCTTATTTTTAAATGTTGGATTCTGGAAGATGATGAAATAACAGTTGATGGCTTTGCTTCCAGCAGTGGCTTGTATTCACCTCTTGCATTATGTGTTGATGAAACAAAGGATAGGACGTCTTTCAGGTACTATCTTACCCTTGTCCAGGGGTGTGGGAGTATAGAATTACTTTATACCTGGCTGGAAGTTAATAACCGTCCAAAATTAATGGGTCTGGTTTCTCATTTGCGTGGAATGACGATGTTATTAACAGAAATGCTGTTCGCCGGCCTCCCGTCCCAAGGGCGGCAGCTGCTGTTCTCTTTGCATCGCGCAGAATGCAGTTACTCTCGTGAGCGTTCAGCAGTGTCCTTTCCTCAGCTGCTTACGACATTCATATTAAATCGATCGTCAGGCGTCTGTTTAGATCTTCCGCGATATTTTATTATTTCTCAATGCGTTTTATTGGTCATTATTTCAGTAAACAAGGAAATTAAATTTCCATTTCTTAGAACAAATTCGCAGTTCTTATAATAATGTTCACGTTCTTTAATTTGAGTCCAGGGTCCGTGCTTCAAATTACAGCTCCACTGCTTTTAGGACGGCACGCAATCTTTGATTTTCCTTTATTCGTAATGGAAAGTTAGCTTTTGATTTACGCGGTTTTTCATAATCGCTCTATCACGTAAAGGGGACACGCGGTAACGTAGTTGGTTGAGGCACTGTGCCACAAACCGGAAAGCCGCGGATTCGAGTCCCGGCTAGGTGGATTTCTTCAGTTTACCTAATGCTTCCAGCCTCACTATGGCCCTCGGGTAGACTCAGCCTCTAACAGAAATGAGTACCACGAATCTTTCTGGGAGGGGAGGGAGGTGGTTAAAGGCGGCCGGCGCGTAAGGCTGACAACCTTACCGTCATCTGCGAACCGATTGTCTAGAGAAAATGTGGGAGCGTCCACGTCTCACAGCCCTATTGGCCTCTCTTTCTACCGCGTACATCGAGGAATGACTGTGATGCTGTGCTTGGGATCTAACTTGCATATGCAGACAACAGGAGTCCTAAGAATTTCTCGGTGTCTGTAGATCAGAATGCGCTTCTGTCACGTGTCTGTGCGTACGCTTTTCTAGCGGTGAACGTATCGTTACGTCGCACCAGGACGTAGTCCGGTAGAGGTTTACCGACATTTCGGAAGAACATATTGCCTCCACCTTCATGATGGAAACGCAAGCCAAATAAGCATCAAGCGGTGATCTGCCTGCAGCTTGCTTGTTCCTTGTTCCACCCTGAAGATGGAAGTAATACGTTCCTCCGAAATATCGATGTAATTTATTGGACTATAGTGCCGCTGTGAAACTCAAATCTAGAAATATTTTCCTTTCCTTTGGGGAGGGGAGGGGGGTCATAAACGAAGTAAACTTGAATTTACACTGCGCATGCGCACTTCATTCAGCTTTCTGTTGTTGCAGGCCAAACTGCTGGAATCATCGCATGCCTGGCTCGGTGCCTCCACGTCCTCTCTTGCCGGTAAGTAACCAAACTTTATCCTTGATTGTCAGCAAATTCCATGTGGCTTGCATTCCTAGACTACTTCACACTTTGTTACTAATAACACACTGTGTCCGAGAAGTTGTATTTCAGTACTGTTGTGAAAGAATAGCATTTCGAGGTAGCGTAATGATTGAAATCCCATTGCATCTGAAATTAACACGATGGTCCGAAACACATGTAGATAACGCATTATTACTAACTGCATAGTTTCTTTCAAATCAGAGTGCAGTGATTAGTCAACTAAAAATTAAAAAATACCGTGTATTTTTAGTGTGTGTGTGTGTTTACATACGTCTATCAAAATATGTCTGATTATAAGTCGATATAATCGATTATTCTCTATCTGACGAATGTTCCCTCCATTGCATTGCAATGCAGTAGAGACGTGATATAAAAGAAACTCGTTAGACATGCTCTTTCATTTATGATTTGCTTCGCTGGCCCTTGTTATGCACATTAGCTGAGGATATGAGCTTAATGCACTCTTTTGAGCTGTTACGAAACTCCCATCGTTTCGTTCAACCTTTGTGAGTAATTTTAATCGTACTTCTGTAGCCAGCGTCACGTTTTTCTTTGCTGCGACTCTATTGCCAGTGGCATTATTAACGCCGACCCTCGGAACTGTCACAGAAATTTAGCTCTCGTCGACACCCCACTTACTGTTCACATCTTCTGAGGGTAGTGTTATCCCTCTAAAAATATGTTTCTGAGCGGTGAATTGCACAGTTCGGAATCTGTCTACGAAAGTCTGTGAAAGTAACCACACCACAAAATGTATTTAAATTGAAGCATAAACATATTGGACTAATTTCACTCCAAAGAACGTATGTGCGTTCTGCATCCAAGTGTGTTGTATTGTTTTGCTTGGATTAAATATGGTACTTGTTCACAGATGCTATCGGAAGGTGCTAGTGGATTCACGTCGCTGCTCTGAACAAAGCGAGCAATACAACACCACAATAAAACAGAGGATGTAAATTAGTTCCAGTTGTCATTATCGGAAGCATATTTACATTATAGGGAAGAGGAGGGCATTCAGGGTACATGTAGTTAAACTGTGGGCAGGAGCCCCTGCCTCCACATAAGAAAAGGGGATTTAAGATATTTTACATGTTCCAGTTTACAGTTAGCATTTTCATTAACAGTAAAGGAAGAACACTGAAACATTGATGTATTTGTAAGCACGAGTTGAAATTCTGTTTGGATGCTGCTGTTTAGAGCGAGAAGCTGCCCTGATACGTCACAGCTGCTCGCCTCTTTGTTAGTGTATACCAGTGACGATGCTAGTGACACTGCTGGGGGCGTAAGCAAGTAAGCTTTTATTATCAATCAGAAAACATTTTACTTTGGAAAATATGAACATAAATTGAATGGGCTGCCTGTGGCAGGATCCGTGTTTGCGCATGGCGGCCGGCCAGTTTTATCCTCACCTCCTGTTACTTCCTTTCATAACTTGTACTCTTCTCAAAGTATAATCAGAATGATCAGGTCAAGGAGGATGAGGTGGGCATGGCATGTAGCACGAATGGGGAGAAGAGGAATGCATATAGGATATTGGTGGGAAAGCCAGGAGGAAAGAGACCACTGGGAAGACCAAGGAGTAGGTGGGTGGAGAAAATTAAAATGGATCTCAGAGAGACAGGATAGGATGCTATGGATTTGAGTGATCTGGCACAGGATATGGACCGGTGAAGGGCTCTTGTGAACACGGTAATGAACCTTCGGGTTCCATAAAATGCTGGGAAATTTTTGAGTAGCTGAAGAATTGACGGCTCCTCCAGAAGGGCTCAGCTCCATGAGTGAGTGAGTGAGTGAGTGACTATTACTTCCTTTCATCTCAGGACACCGGTAGTTGTATTGTCAGACTAACCACCGGCCCCCGCTGTTCAGGAGTTTGCTCTGTTGGAAGATTTCTGGTTCAGATCTCGATGCTGTGACCGGATATCCTGTGTTTGTCGTGCATTTCCTCAGTCCTTCCAGGCAGCTGCGGATATACCATGAAATAGGCCGTGACCGCTTCATTCACATCTTTCCATTTTGCCATTGAGAAACATCCTACCATACAGAGCTGTGCAACATACAGTTGAAGTAATAATTTAATAGCATAAAAGTAAACTTATAGTAGCGTGGCTTCGAGTCCAGAAGCGCAGCTTTCCATGGCAGATAACGCGGTACCATTGTCGCGTGATGTGCAGTGCGAGATGGGTCACAGGACCTGGTAACATGGAAGAACGGAACGTAGAATTCGAGGTTCTCATGGCGCTGTACCGTTGCCACGTGGTGTGCAGTGCGAGATGGGTCACAGGGCCTGGTAACGTAGAAGAACAGAACGTACTTACATAGAATTCGAGGTTCTCATAGCGCGGTACCGTTGCCACGTGGTGTGCAGTGCGAGATGTGTCACAGGACCTGGTAACGTAGAAGAACAGAACGTACTTACGTAGAATTCGAGGTTCTCATAGCGCGGTACCGTTGCCACGTGGTGTGCAGTGCGAGATGGGTCACAGGACCTGGTAACATGGAAGAACAGAACGTACTTACGTAGAATTCGAGGTTCTCCTACCCGTGGCTATGAAACTTTCTTTCTTCTGGGATAAACATTGTGTAGTCCGTTTAGAAGTGAATGGACGTTTCGTAGGAACATATTGCGCCCATTCTCAAGGTAGAAGAATAAGCCAAGTAAGAAATAGGGCTTTTTGCCTGCTTCATAATGGTTTCTTGCTTGGGTCCCCCCCCCCCCGATCCAGAAGTTTGAGGCGACATGTTCGTCCGTAACACTCGTTGATTCTCAATGGTCTACGCGGCGTTGTATCCCAGAAGGTAAAACTATTCAAAGCCTACTTGTATGCTAACTCGCGAATATTTACGTTTTCAGGATGTCGAGTAGCATCATTCATTTCATACAGGGCGCTTGGAAGAGGTAAGGAATGAGCGATTACTTTTTATAGGCGTCGTACCAAAAGAAGTATTGTGGCATATTTCGCACTTTGCGATTGAAACGAGTGTACGTATGTTTATGAGCATAAATGCACGTGTATAAAGATGACCAGAAGCGCTACGGCAGTTATTATGAAGACACAATTTTATTTTAAAATGCATTAGTAATAATAATAACAATAATTGTGTGTGATATAGTTCATGATGGACCTTGGCCTATGTTTCACAGTTTCTCAATCATATAGAAAGTCGGTAGGACACCCTTGGCGAGGGATAAGGCCGCTACTACACAGGGCATAACAGACGGAAACATACATGCCTCTGTGTGGGATTAGAACCCACGACCCCATTGTTCGAGCGGGCGACGATAATTCATGCCTGAGACCGCGCGGCCACTGTTATCGGCTTTGTGCTTTATGTAGTAAAATTCCAGTTCATATTGTTAAGTTTTAAATTTAATGGAAGTGTGTTTATACTTAAGCAAAATAGTTATAACTTGCTGTATTCAGCTACTTTTTGGTGTACAGTGGGTCAGACGTCCAAGTGTGCATGGGCACAAAAACAGCATAAACCCGCTTATTGACTCAGTCGCAATAAATTCTGCAATAGGCTAAGAGAACCCGGAAGTGCATTATGTCAGAAGGTTCAGCCTGCAGTTGCGCAGCGTCCAGATCGGGCACAGTTCCCCGAGATCGCTCTTGTTCAAGTTCCTGCCATCCTAGTAGCATGTCCAGCCGATCCTTACAGCCTTGATCTTACCATTTTAACGGTATTCAGTGAGCTGTGTAAATTATGACATGTCCCATGCAAATGCAGATTAACAACACGTGTTTGAAATGTGTAACTATATTATGCTGATAAAACCCAGACCATATTTGGACCGAAAAGAGATGAAGCGACAGGAGGTTGGAGAAAACTGCATAATGAGGAGCTTCATAATTTGTACTCTTCTCCAAGTATCATCAGAATGATCAAGTGAAGGAGGATGAGGTAGGCAGGGCATGTAGCACGAATGGGGGAATAGAAGAATGTGTATAGGATATTTGTGGGAAAGCCAGAAGGAAGGAGACCACTGGAAGTCCAAGGTGTAGGTGGGTGGACAATATTAAAATGGATCCTAGAGAGATAAAATGGGATGGTATGGATTAGATTGGTCTGGCTCAAGATAGGGACCAGTGGAGAGCTCTTGTGAACACAGTAATGAACCTTCGGGTTCCATAAAATGCAGGAAAGTTCTTGAGTAGCTGCACAATTGGCGGCTTCTCAAGAAGGGCTCAACTCCATGAGTCTGAGTGAAAACGCAGTGCAACAAATACTGTATGTAGCAAAGGTGCCAAGACAGTTATGGCATGAGCTCTCCACAGAAAATAAGCCCTGTTAGGGTGAATTTTAAAATAGGAAAATAATTGTGATAATAATAATACAGTAGAACTTGGTTATAACGTCATCAAAGGGACCTAAAAATAGTGTCGTTATAAACGAATGTCGTTGTAACCGAAATGGGCACTTCCACAGTAGCCTTGTGTTAGTCACATAAAAATCTTCCAAAAACCGAGTTAAAATGTTGCATTTTTTAGTGAAATACGTAGTTAAGTACAGACTAACATAACATTAACGTGGAATTGCCCAAATGTATAATATCAAAGACATATTACAGCGCTTTTCACTGACAACACACACAATATTTCACGAATCACTTTAACTTTCTCTTCAGTGCTTAAAACTTTCCTTTTCATTGCCATGTTTTCGCTACTGCACTTCTCTGGGTTTAGGCAGGAACACTATAGGGTAAGTAGACAATGTGAGGTCCTGTTAGACGAGATTCTAGGAAAGGAATGCAGTTAACAACCTGCCGCGTCCTCTTGCACTATTCACGCAGTCCCACCCCACACCCTTGTTTTCGCATAAAACCCACGCTCCTCTTGCAGCCCGCGGTCATATTCTTCCAGGACAGTCACGTCAGCAAGTAGAGAAAGTGAGGGTGGGCAGACACATTGAACTTCCCCACTATATCAGAGAAATTCAGGAATGAAAATGAC